GCCGCCGGGGGTGTGCGACCCGCAGCCCGAGCCGAGCGAGGCGGGCAGGGTGGACGCCGCCTCCCCGTCGCGCTCCCCCGAGAAGCTGGCGCGGGCCCGGCGCGGGGGAGATGACGGGGAGCGCCCCTTCCCCGACCAACACCCGCCAGAAACCTCGCGCCCACGTTTGTTTCCAAAACCAAGGGAAAGCCAGAAACCGCGGCGACCCCGCCCCTCGCCGGCTGCTCTTGGCCAGGTCTGCGCGCGCCTCTGCGATCCCGGCCCCGAAGGCCCCGCGCGGGCGTCTCCGCGGGCCAGGGTTGGAGGTGCGCCGGGGCGGGAGGGCCAGGGGCTTTTGCCCGCGGCGCCCGTACACTCCGACTCTTCTTTCCCTCCAAAGGAGTCAGAAGCCGTCTGGGTCTTCGGAACCGGAATCTCCGCCTTTCCGAGCTCTACGACCCGGGGTAAGTAAACTTCCTAATGCCCAGCGCCAAAGAGCATTGCTCTTCTGACAGTGGAGAGGGCTTTGAGCAGTTTGCTTTTAGTTTTGTATCTAGTTATCTATCTATCTATCATAGTTCCTTTAATACACATACTACTTTTTTTTTTTTTTTGGTACCAGGAATCGAACTCATGACCTCAGGCTTGCCACACATACTACTATTTGTCAGACATCGCTGGCGTTTTGCTGCCTTGAGATGTCAGATATCACCGTTTCCCATCTAATGATACTCCTAAATCCCCAACGCCATTGAAGTCCATAAAAATCCAGCTATGTGGGATTTCTGTAAAGAAAAAATGTTTAAAAGTTTTGCGAGGATCGTAGTGCACATGATAGAAAATTCCAAAGGAATAAAATGTACAGTAAAAAAATAAACCTCCTTCCCGCCCGGGACCCCAGGTTTTCTCTCCAGAGGTCACCACTTTCACTGCTGTGACGCTTGTAACAGCTTTCAAAAGGCCTTTTGAACCCCTGTGCACAAGTAGCTCTTGTTTTTGAAACCCACCAGTTTTACATTTATTATTTTTAGCTATTGGTTGATTTTTATTTTCTGTTTTTCTACTAAGGATGCAGAAATGCCAGGAAGTCAGGCCAGTGTTTGGAGGAATTCTGTGGAGTCTGGGAATTATGTGGAACAAACAGATTAGTTTCCGAGTTCCTTGAGGTCAGAGATTGTGGTTTGTTGAACTTCGGGGCTCCTCATATATCTCACCACAGTTACTAGTGAGTAGCAGGCCTGTGCTCCGATTTCCGTCCACACCCAAGGACAAGTGATATTCATGGAAACTTGGTGCTTAGAAGCGTGTTTGTAGTAATAAGAGAAGGGACATTAGAGTTTGGGTCCTGGTTTTGACACTGCGTTTGTGATGGAAGCAGTCATTTGAGATTTGGCTCCCTATCTGTGAAGTAGTGGCTTATATGTTATTTTGAAGATTCTAAAAGAGCATTTGGGCCAAGCACTTAGCATTGTGCCTGGCAGATGAAAGGCATGTTGTAAGTAGTGGCAGTGTCTGCTTCCGTACCTGCATCGGACAGGTAAGTGCACTTGTCGGCTGCAGTTACTTTAGGGTACAGTAGCAGATGACCCCTGAGATCTCAGGTAAGAAGGCTTGATTTTGCCTTTCATGTCACAGGTCCTTTATGTGTCTGTCTTCAAGCCCTTCCCTCTGGGCGCCAGGCTGAGCTGCTGCTTTGGGGAACTGCTGCTGATCCTATGGATTGTGCCATCACTTACAGTCTGTCCCTATTCATGGTGACAGGGACATTAACTGAAGGGAGTCACAATTGTGAACTAAAATAAAACCCTGGTTCACCAGACCCTGAGAATTATCTCACACCGAGATGCTCGTAGCTCCTGATTTATAAACCAGAATTCTGTGTTTTCTCCAGTACAGTGGGTGATAGATCTTCCCTGGTACTGGGCATCTATACTGGGATGAACTTTTCTTGCTGATGGATTTGCCTAAAAGACTGAATTGTAAGCTAAAAGAGTGGTTTTAGTAGAGCCAAATGTAGTGGTTGCGTATCCAGAATGCACCCTGGTTTTTCATCTGGTTCCCTCTTGGCCCTGAGGAATGAGCTAGAATGGCAGCAGCGTATCCCATACAGCTCTGGTGATCACTGACAGATCCCTGATTCTTCTTTTTTAGGTTCTTTGCTTGTGGACAGCAAGTGTTTTTGTTTTAGATTTTTTTCTTGTAAGTGTAAGACATGTTTATTGTGGAAAATTTTAGAACAAACAGGAAAACAATGGAGAAAACTGGAAGTTACCAACAGCAAATTCTTTTCTTATCGATTGCTAATTGCATCATCCCATGACTTATGACTGTTCTTTTATGCTGTCTGCTTCTTGAACAGCGAGACTTTATTATCATAATTAAGGTGTTTTCAGGTCACAGTGTTGGATAGATGACCCACCTCGTGTTGATTCTTGCTGTTCTGGTTTCATAGTGATTGTTACCATGTGTGGCACAAGATGTACAGAGCTTCCACTCACTTTTCTTGTAACTGTTCTATCGTGAGACGTTTCTTCCTTAGGTAGGGAGTCCAATATGATATAATATTGTTGAAGAAATATATAATGAATATAAATTAAAAAATTAAAAGTATATTTCCAAATCGAGACAAAAGCAATTTTGCTTAGCTTTGCCATTCACTGAATAGTTGAATAAAGTGAGTTTGATTTTTAGCAGCAAAGCTTTGAAAAACAAAAGGAAAGTTTATATTTTAAAAGTAAATAACAGCAAGCATAGAAAGGGAATGAAAATACTTTTTGTTTTGTTTGAACCATCATACTTTTTATACCAACACCTAATACGGATGGCAAACAAACAAAAAAACTACAAGTCAACTTCACATAAGACTGCGGATCTGCACCAAGTCAGTATAAACACATGTAATCTGGTGGCATTGATTAGTCATTCAAGGAAAGCAAAGGCACATGGTAGCATCTCGGTGTGGTTTTAGCACTGCACTGGATCAAAGCAATTCTATGCATATACTAAGGAATGAGGTCCACTTACATGTGTAGCTACGGAAGAAACACCATGTGCATTGTTAGTTGAACAATACAAGAACCAAATATAGTGTGTTTCTATTTGTGTAAGAAAATTTTTCCCTCTGCGGAGAAATGTGTGTGTGTTTGTGTACGTAATGCTTGTGTGAAAAAACTTTTTGTAAAGTTAAAAGCAAAATTTATAATTGGAGAGGAAAACAATGGGCTAGGCTGGGAGAAGAGACTTGTTTTTAAATCCTTTTTTCTGTTTGAATGTTTTAATCAGATGCCTACAATTTTGGAACTAAGTGCATTTTACAGTGGACTGCTCCGTTTCAAAATAACTTCATAGAAATTTTAGGAACAAATTCTCCCTTTCTGTGACAGTGCTGTGCCTACTCCACCAGAGGTCAAGTGCAGCTGGGGTGGGCGGTAGGGATGTGGTTCGCAGCAGTTGGTTGGCACTGCTATGGTTTACGACCGTTTGACCACCCTGTCACTAGAAACCATTGACAAAAATAAGTAACTGCAGTACCAGGTGTGCAGACTATGGTGTTTACAAGTTTTAAAGTATGTTTTCAAAGAATGTAATGTCTAGAATTTAAAATTATAGAATATGATAACCATTTAAAGGGGCTGGGGATTTAGCTCAGCGGCAAAAGCGCCTGCCTCGCAAGCGCAAGGTGGTGAGTTCGGTTCCCGGTACCGGAGAAAAACCAAAAAAATAAAAAAATAAAAAAAAAAGATAACCATTTAAAAGCACTGACTGGTTTAAATCATTTATAGACTAGAAATCCAAGGATATAAGGATCAGTGCTACAATTACTTGTTTATAACCTTTGAATTTCTTATTTAACCAGGCTTTGTAATTTCTAATAATCTCCTTATAACATAGTTACTAAACTGTAGATTTTCTTTATGTGTAGTTGAGCCAAGCAGAGTCTTTTATTTCCTGCTTTTCTTCTAAAAGCATAATGGTCATGTTTTCTCTGGGCTTGGGAGGATCTGTGGTTTCTTTATGCTTCCTTTCCATCCTATTGTCAGTAGTCATTCCTTGTTATTATCCAAATTACATGTATGGTTTTATGGTCAGAGTAGAAATGAGATTAAAGAGAAGCTGTGTGTGGTAGCACACACATATAACTCTAGCCTTCTGGGAGGCTGAGGCAGGAGGATAGTAAGTTCTATCCAGCCTGGACAATTTACTGACTTAGCAAGACCTTATATCAAGATAAAAATTTTAAAAATGTTTGGGATGTATCTCAGTGCAGAGGTCCTTGGTTCAATCCCCAGTACTATGAAAAAAAAAAAGAAAAAAGTAAAGGGCTTGGTAAAAAATTTCACACATTTACTAGTTAATTGAAAGTGTTCTATGTATTTTTTTTAAATTTAAAGTCTAAACAGACCACCTATTGAAGGATTTCATCAGAATATCAGCAGCACAGTTCTCAGCGCCTGTTGTGTGGGTGTGAGCTGACTTGGTGGTTCATTGTTGCAGGCTGGTCTCGGGGGACCCATCATGTCCAATTTTGAAGATGCCGACACGGAAGAGACGGTCACTTGTCTCCAGTTGACTGTTTACCATCCTGGCCATTTACAGAGGGGAATATTTCAATCAATCAATTTTTCCAAGAGAGAGAAACTGCCTTCCAGTGAAGTTGTGAAATTTGGACGCAATTCCACCATCTGTCATTATATTTTTCAGGACAAGCAGGCTTCCAGAGTCCAGTTTTCTCTACATCCGTTTAGACAGTTCAATAGCTGCATTCTTTCCTTTGAAATTAAAAACCTGAGTAAGAAGACCATCCTGATTGTGGACAGCCAGGAGCTGGGCTACCTCAACAAGATGGACCTGCCCTACAGGTGCATGGTCAGATTCGGCGAGTACCAGCTCCTGCTGGAGAAGGAGGACGGACAGTCCTTGGAGTCTTTTGAAACGCAGTTCGTTTTTTCTCCCAGGCCACTCCTGCAAGAGAACAGCTGGCCAGCACAGAGCCCCGTCCCTGAGGACGGCACCTTTTCATCAGGCTCCACTCAGAGCGCTTTCCCCACAGAAATGGATGAAAATGAATGGTGAACATAGCATCCACGCGGTGACGTGGAGGTGGAAGGGCTGCAGAGGCGTCGTGTGACTGTGAGTCTGTTTGTGTGTGCACACGGTCTCCATCACGCTGTCGAGGTGGGAGTCTGTGAGTTGGATGTCATCAGCTTGGTCACATGTTGCATTCGTAGGTCTCTGAGGAGTGTACTTCTGTATGAGTCAATATATAAAAATAGCCTTTGTGAGGAAAAATAGCCTTTGTGAGGATATTGTGTTGTTAAGGTTCTGTTTCCTTCTGCTGCTTGACTTCAGTTCTAGTCCCGGTCCATCTCTTGTTTTGGTCGTGTCATTGCAGAGCAGCCAGTCACTTCCAGAGTCAAGGCTGCAGGTAGGTCGTGTCATTATGCAGCCCATCAGGACTTGTGCATCCAGAGGAGTGGTGTGAGGCTAGACACTGCCGTCTTCATGTCACTGTGAACAGGGAAGGCTTACTTGAGAAATAATACTTTAAGTTTCATTGTGGCATTATAGTGTATTCCTAAAATGGCAGTTCTTCTAGTCTGTCCTCCGTATCTCCAACTAATATTTAAACATTTTAAGGAACCACTTTGACTAGGATTATTTTCTTACCAAATTTGAAATTTGATTTTTGTGTTTTACATTACTTTAAAATTTCATGAATTCAACATTTTAACATCCAAGCACATAATAAAGTCTTAAGTCTTCCTAATGGTGCTCTGTGTAAGTAAACATATTGTGAATATTTATAATAAATGCTTAAGTATTTCTAAAATTTTAGCTTCCAGGACAGTTGTCTTTAAAATTCTCACTGAACTAATTTTTGTGAGGTTAAAATGAATGTTACTGATTGCTATATAAATGTTTATCATTCAGTTATGTTGAATTCTAGCACTAGCAGTGAAGCTCTCTGTGTAATTTTCCAAGTAAATAAAATTTCTTACTTTCTGTAAGAAGTTAATCATTTTTGGAAAAAAACAACTAAAATCTGGTAACAGTCTTTCTAAAATAACTTAAACTTCCCAGCCTCTTAACCAAGTGAATGTTAACCCTAGTAAATCATATATATACTTTTGTTGTTGTTTGTTTGTTTATTTGTTTTGTTTTGGTTTGGTTTGGTTTGGTTGCTTTTTGGAGACAGGGTCTTGCTGTGTAGCCCAGGCTGGCCTTAAACTCACTATGTAGCCAGGCTGGTCTGGAACTTGTGATCCTCCTGCCTCCACTCCCTGCCTGGCTGGGATTACAGGTGTGCACAGCCACACCAGGCAACCTTTTCTTGATCCAGATCATCAGTTGTTCTTGACCTGCTGCTCAGTCTTCCTCTCCAATCCTGGGACTGCTGCTGTTGAGAACTACTCGTCCCGACTCGCAGTGGCCTGGATGACTACTTCCAGTCCTCCATCTGCTCTCCTGCTTCTTCCTGTGGTAGGCAGTGACGGCTGGCTGCTCCATCAGTGTCCCTGTGCTAAGCTCCAACACTTGGGAGTGTGTCTTACACAGTAAAGGGAATTAAGGCTGAAACAGAAGCAGCGTTGCTCATCAGTTGACCTTAAAACAGAGCGATCACCCTGGATTATGCTGGACCTAGGTAATTACATGGTCCTGAAAAGTGGGCGGAGCCAAAGAAAACATCAGTGTGAAGCTGGACAAGGGATTTGAAGATGGGAGGAAGGCCAGGAGCCAAGGAGTGTGGACAGCTCCGGAGGCTGGAAAATGTGTCAGGACATCTGGACGCTGGAGGAGACTGAGGCTCCGACAGTGGAACTGAGTCCCACCTGGGCCTTGGTCACGGACACCCAGGTACCTTCTTGCCTGTGGAATTTTAAGATGATAAAGGGTAAAGTTTTGTGCCACTGACTTGCAGCAGTTTGTTGAAGCACGGATTAGAAAACTGATAGTCTACCTCCAGCCAGAGGTTATCTACTGTCTGTCATTTCTTGCCACTGTCACCCAGTTGCCTGCCTTGTACTCTCTTTGGCTGCCCAGGTCTGCTTACTGTGGAGTTTCTTGGTAAAGGCTGCCTGTGAGTAAAGAATATGCATTTTATTGTTTAAGTAATGTCACATTTGGAAGAATTTTCACTTCTGTGTCTTGTCTTTGAGGCTAGATAACTGATTAAATTGCGAAGTTTTAATATTAAGGAATTCTTGCATCATTGTTCCTGAACCCACACAATGTAACAGGTGATACGATGTTCACCTGTAACAGTGATTTCTCTAATGTTTATCCTGGAAGGGGTTTTGAACTTGAGAAATAAGGAAAGGGTTGCTTGCTGACTAGTAACTTCGGGTTTTCCACAGAACAGAAACACCAGCTGGACTCATAGCCTGACTCTGACGGGTAATAAAGGAGCAACAGGATGTTAACATTAGGACTGATCGCAAACCAAAGCTCTGCTGGAGCCAGCACAGAGGGCTGTGGCTAGAGGGCCGCTGAGGCATCTCAGAACACAGGAAGAAGGGCAGATGTTGGGCACGATCCACACACCTTCAGCTCTGCTCCTCAATACCTCGGGCCCCATTTCGCATGTGATTTCCATGCTATCCATCATTCACAGAGGGAGTCCCCCACCCCAGCTCCAGGAAGGCTCAGCCCGGGTCCATCAGTCAGCTCTTCTTGGGCTGTATGATCACATCTTCCAAGAGCTGCTCCAGTCAGTGACTGTGTAGACAGGAGAAGTATTTGCTCAGGGAATGTCCACATAAGGGTGGCAAACAGAAATCCCGGTATTTGTCAGCAGTCACCGAAGCTAAGTGGCAAACACTTCATGATACACCCAGAGGACTCCTTTGTCCCTGGGAGCTGGTTTTTCTCTGGCATGTGTTTTAACAGAAGTGGGATGGGGCATGTGTTTGGTAAAGCTTTACTTTTAAAATAAGCTATTTAATATACATACGTATACAGTAGTAAGCGTCTTGTAGAGAAACGCACCGTAATTTACTGTGAGGGTACTGTCAGCATTGTGAGTGGCAGCAGCTTCCATGTTACCTCGTGACCCCGTTCTGTCTCAGCTCCACCCTTGTTTATCCCTTGCATTAACTGTCATCTGTTCAGCTAGCAGGTGTGGCCGCTACTTCGTTGTGTGGGTCACCACTGAAACCATCAGTTTCCATTCGAGGTGGTGACCAAGGATGAGAGCAGTGAAGTGTGGGTGGAACTGACTGGGCTTCTAGTCCCGCTGAGTTACCCAAGTCCAACCACTCGCCCTGCTGTGCCGGCTCTATGGGAACATTTACTTGTGTTGCACCTTGTAAGCAGTGGACTCGGGGGCCAGGAGCTCTGGTGGAGAGAATGGGAAAAGCGGTTCCAGCTCTGTCCCGGTTTCTTCGTAGTGCTGCTGATGGACGGCTGTCAAGGGACCAGACAGCGCCAGCTCGGCACTGCTAACCAGTGCCCGTGAAATGGTCCTGCAAAAGCCCAATCATTATGAAACAGAAAACTCCTGAGATTAGACAGTTACAGTAAAGTACAACACTGGAAGTGCACGTTACGCCAGAGGGCCTTTTGGTGACAACACCACTTTGGGTGTCTCAAAACCATTTTTTAATCCTTAGCTAAGCAAAAAAACCAAAACAAACCCCCCCTTGCATCACACACATACACACACACACACACACACACACACACAGAGTCACCCCTACCCAAGAAAAAGAAACAACCCCAAACCAAAAAACCTTCCTCGAAACCAAACCACACAGAAGTACAGGACTGAGTGTGGGCTCTGGATCATACTGCTTGGGTTTATCTTCTACTTCCTGTGTAAGCAGACACTAACTCAGGCTCCTTTTCTGAAAAGCAAGGGTTATGCTAGTGCTGCCTCCCCTGGCCTCGGTGAAGATCAGCCAGGAGGAGGCGTGCCTTCCCCAGGTCTTCGCAGGGCACGGGTGTTACCAGAGCACTGAGCAGTTGGAGACAGCCGTAACGGTCAGATGAAAACAATTTCTGAACTCCGTCTACAGAAGGCATTGTTCGTGTGTCACAGAAAAAAACCTCTACTTTGTAACACTAAAAATTTCATACAGTTTTAATCACTTTTCTAATTTCATTTTCAACTTTAATATTTTCTATGGATACATGAGTCAGATGCAGGAATTCCGTGTTTCTCAAACATTCGTTTGTGCTTTTGAGTGTGAGAATTAACAGGAGGAACCAAGTAAATGAAGATAGGAAAACATTAGATTCAACATAAATTCTTTTTTCAGACATTGCTTGAGAAATTATAATTAGGGTACCTTTCTGTAAATCGAAACAGAACTGTCTTCTACTAGAATAATATATTTATCCAATTACTGAAAAAAGCAGGCATAATTCCAAATACCATTCAGAAGTATCTAAAGCTTTCTAGTTTCTTGAGAAAAAAAAAAACCTCACATAATTTCACATCCCCACCAGCTACCACATTTCTGTGTTCTCTGAAAGTAAAAATTTTCCAGTAAAATGTCTGCACTACCCATTCTTTATCTCCTACCTCCTGGGGTTGCATCCTTCTGCTTGGTTTAGATCTAGATGCCCTGCCAAACTTGCATGCACTGAGGTGAGGCTTTTGGCAAGTGATTGCATCATGGCGGTGCTGTACTCATGGGATCCATACATGAGTTCAGAAGCTGAACGTGCTGTTGTGGGTGGGCCTGGTTAGAGGCGGTCGCCGGGGGTACTGAAAGTGTATACTCCCTCTCTCACTCCTCCTTTCTCTCACTGCATCCCGACGGCCATGATGGGAGCAGCTTTTCCTCTGCCATGCCGTTTCTGCCTCTGAGCCAGCCAGCCACGCAGGAGTTGTAACCGTGAGCCAAAATAAACCTTTGTTAAGTTGCAGGTGTTAGGTACTGTGTCCGGGCGATGAGAAAATGATGGACACCTTCATTTAACAGATTATCAGGCATTCACCCTCATGTTCCTAATCCAGTTAAACCTCTTCTCAAAGCACTGGTGACCCCTTTCTCTCCTGGTGTCTGTGACCCCTTACATTCTCCAGGTCCCCATATTCCTCTTCTTCACTGTCTCTACTCCCAGTCTCCAAAGGTCAACATTAGAGAAGTAGCCTTGTCCACCTGCCTGCTCCCTTGGGGTGAACTCAGCTAGTGTAATAACCGAAAACACTGCTTACCAGTTACTGACTCCCACGCTTGTTACTTAGACCTTTTCTTTGAGCTATAGACACACACCCCAATACTCACTTGACATCTTCATTCAGATACCTCCTAAGCACCTCACATTTGGTTTTCACGTGGGACTCTTCATCTCTGTCTCAAACCTGTCCCTCCCAGTACATTCATTCAGTCGTGCGGAAAGAAGCCACAGTCGGGCACATGTGAAGCAACTACTTTGGCTGTCATGGTTGCACAGCTGACTAGAAGGGAGATGAGTGCCTCAGACAGTTTACTACTTACACAGACAACAGAGTCACAGCAGCATGGAGTCAGCAGCTTTGGTCCTCAGAGAGGTCCCTAAAAGGAGCCTGATGGGGGAGGGGAGGGCAGATGACAGACTACATGGATCATGTAGTGTAGGGTAGTTGCTGAGCCAACTGTAAACGATAGCCAAGCAGCTTTACAGCCTGTATCTGAACCTGAACCAGGGTGAGGTGGAGTCCCACGCCTCACTGGAGTTACAGGAGGAACTGCCTCATGGGTGCCCGCCTTTTGCAACAAAGGGAGGCTGATGATAAATGGCCCTTGGTGGCTCCACTGAGATGGCCAGGATAGCCACACTCCAGGGAGACCACAGGGTTTTCTGCCTGCATGGACTAGGGGCAGTGAGTAGGTATGGAATCCGTTACCTTCTCATCCAATTCGTCACAACACCCTATTGACTCTCCCTCTAAATCTCTGAATTTCCGAAGCCCTCACGGCCCCAAGTTACACACGTCTCGCTGGGAGTGCTGAACACCCACTCTTGCCCTCTGCAGACCCATTTGCTATGTAGCAGTAGGTCTCCTGAAAACACAAATCTGATCAGATCACCAAGCACCCTAATTTACAAAACAATGTCAGGTGTCTTTGCCAGGGTCCAGGGCCTTGCTAGGTCTGACCACTAACTACCCTCTACCATCACCACATACCACACATGATGCTTGGCCCCTGAGGTCCTTTTACTCTCCCATGTAAGCAGTCTTTCCCACCTCAGAGATGCTGAGCTGGCCCGTCACTCTGCTTACTACACGGGTCACCAGGCCTTCGTACCTGGCTGGGTCCTGCTCAGCAGCTGAATTTCAGCTCCAGCATCTCTGGGAGAGGACTCCCTCTCTTACCCAAAACAGCCACCTGGCCTCTGGCCTGTTGTACCGTCTTGTGCATTTCCAACTGACCTGTGATTCATTATTGTGTGTCGTTTTGACCGGAATGCTAAGCAGAAGCAGGGAGCTTGTGTGGTATTTTTACTGCTATGTTTCTAACATACAGCTCCAAGGTTTCTTGAAGAAATATTTCTAGTGTTTTTTTATAACTTCAAACAAAAACTTAATTGTGTATCTTAGTAATTACAACACATTTTCAAGTTTAGTTCCACCTTTTCATAATTTACTCCTGTTTCTTTTCATATCTGATTTAATAAAATACGAAGTTTGGAGTTATAATATCTGCATTTTTAGAGTAAAACCAGTAATTAATAAAACTTATTTTTAAATGTAAAAATGTATTTATTCACAATCCTTGAGAAGTTACCATTCCATCAGAAAATTCTTTATGAACAAAAAAATTACAATAGTAGCTTATGCCAACCAAAAATATACATCTGATGTATATAAACCTTAGAAAGCGTTAACCCAGGCAACGTGAAGTACCTTTAAATATTTCCAGTGACACAGCTATAACTTAAGACATACAAATAACAGCATTAGCTAATTATTATATTTACATATTAAAGTGTCATATTTATTTCTATGAGATTAAAAAAAGGACAAAATAAAACTACAGTTGTCATTACCTAGCAGGTCAAATATTGAAAGGGCCATGTGATTTTTTTTTAATACAGCAGGAACTTTAAATTACTATTTATTTCTGGACCTTCCTGTATTTTTGAGAACATGCACTGTCACTGTTACAAAAGAAAGAACAGAAAAACATACTAAGGAAAAAACAGAAAAAAAGTTTGCTTACTGAAATCATACTCAATCCTCAGCAAAATCAAGGAAAGCAGTTAGGGGGTGTTTTACATACCCAGCTTTTATATTGGTGCATAAACTGTAGGGCAAAGAGAGTTGAATTGTCCATCACAAAATGCAGTTATACACAGTGATACGCTCACTTCCATTGCATCAAAGCACCTTGTACTACAAGGCCAAGGAAAGTGTAATAAATCAGTAGGACCTTTCACACTAGAAAGAATTTTATTTACTTTAAATACCCGTATTACCCTTTTATGTTTTCAATTCACAAATCACTCAGAGAATAATGTTCTGTGTAAAATCTTTCTAAGATCGCTCATTGGAAATACAGAAGTAAAAAAATAGTAACACCTAAAAACTTAACATATCAAATTAAAAGCAATACTGTTGCATGTAAAAGAAGTATAGATCCTAATATATTTTCTTAAATACTATTTTAAATTATTATTATCAACTCAAAATGTCCAAACTCTGAAAGCTTGCCTTTATATTTTGTTCAGACTGAATCAACATCATCGTACTAGGACATGTAATAAAGGTAGAAAGAAACCGACCCTTCAGCATTTCTTAGGCCATCGACTCAACTCAATTGTGCTTCCTATTGGATAACGGAATTCTAAGCTGTCCTAGAATAAATACTTCTAGAAAAGTGAACTATTCTAAAGCTGAGCCTGATAACCCCTCCTCGTGCCCCCTTCACATCTGCTGAGAATTCATGAAAAATACTGTAATATTTTCACCAGAGATAAAGAAACAGGTGTGAAAAGTATTTAAAGTAAAATTAATAAAGATTTTTTAAAATGTGAAAACCTACAAGAGTAAATAGGAATGCTATAAGAGTTAATAATTGATAACATGACAGAAGCATTAAATTGGTCTTAAAATGCAGAAGGCAGATGATAAAATTGCACTTAATTCTGAAGCAATTCAGATCGGTCCGACCACTCTTACACCTTCCTAATCAAATAAACATTTACAGCACAGCTTCTCACGGCCCCTTACAGAAAGGCTCAACAAACCACAGGTACATTCTTGTTGGTTTTTAACATTTGGTCAAAACTGATGAACAGGGTCAAACAATTTTACTCTATCGAATCTGCTGATCTGTATCAGACTGTTTTATGCCAGAATCAGACAGTTCTAATACAGGATTTACAAATCCAGAATACTCGGAATTGCCATTGTCATCTATTTCAGCACTAACGAAATCATTCTCCCACTCCAGCCCGTTGGAGTCATCAGAGGCTGAGGTGGGGTTACTTCCAGTCTTCCTCCCGCTGTACTTAAGTGCTGCGCGGAGGATATCCTCCTCTGTCTTGGAACGCTCTCTCATTGGAAGCATCCTATTCATCCCTATGATTTGAACAGAGTTCAAAATGTCTCAGTAAAGATAAAACAATGTATTAAAAGCCTTCTCAGATTACTACCATACAGTTGTTGCTACTGTTTTTTACTATCAGACCTGATGTGCCCTATAGTCCTGAAGAGCCCTTCTCGGGGCAGGCTGGGGTTCACTCCTGAGGCATTAGAGGCAGGCATCCACCAAGGGGTGGTTCTGATGCAACACTGAACACATGATAAGATTAAATTTCTAAAGAGCCACGAATCAAACAGAATGGATGGTTTTCAAATGCTATTAAGTTTTCTATGGCCAAATCAGTCTGTCTGCCAAAGTCTTTCCCTACCCAGATGACAATTGCAGTTCCCAGAGAATGAGAGTCACCCTGGTGATGGTAACCACATACACTTTTCCAGCGCTTACTGGATTCCTATCAGTACTGCATGTAGGGGCTGGGGATTTAGCTCAGTGGCACAGTGCCTGCCTGGCAAGCACAAGGTCATGAGTTCGACTCCTGGTACTGGAAGAAAAACAAAAAAAAACAACCCCAAAACAACACTGCATGTACTTCAAATATATTAGCTGACTGAATCCTCAGTGGCTCTATAGGAGTTCCATTAACCCCATTTTAGACTTGAGGAATGGGGGCAGAAAGGTCAGTGAGTTGTGCAAGGTCACACAGCTATAAAGTAGCAGGATAAGAATTTCTCTTCTCTTCCTTCCTGTTGGTGCTGGGTTTCAAACCCAAGGCCTGTGTATACTTGGGAAGTGCTCTATCCTATCACTGAGCTACATTCCAGCCCTGGGGAAAGAATTTTAATTCATTTAGTCCTGTTCCAAAGTCTAACTGTATTCTGACTGTATCATAAGAATGCAGATGTTTCTAGAGGAAACTGTTCTCCATCTAATTCTGAATATAAATCAATTGGAGGTAAGGTAAAAATTTATCATAATAATCTTAAGTCTGATGACTGGAACCCAAATATGTAATAAGTTTCCTGAATGTGTTTCTTTCTTGATAAACAAATGGGCATGACTATAGGATATCCAAGGCCCATTCCATCTCAGGAGTCTATGAAATAGTTCATGCTTATTATTTTTCTCAAAGTTTTATATGCTATAATTGAGCCTTCCTTGTTCAATTTCCTATTTCCTATCATGAAAATGAAAATCTTCATGGGCCCCATTCTGTAAAACAGCCTTAAAACCACAAAGCAAAACGAAAAAGCTACAATTACGAGCACTGAATAGTGCCATACTCTTTATTGGCTTGTCTTATCCTCACAATACTGATCTATTTATTTAGTCAAATCTTTTTTAATTGGCCATTATATGCCAAGCAAGTTTAGGTACTAAATATACATAACGGTGGAAAAATTACCATATAAGGTAGATTTTATTCTTTCCTTTTCTCTATGAAAAAATTGTAGTTTAGAGAACTTAAGTAATCTATAGCTAGGAAGACATACCAGCTAAAATTAAAGCTCATGTCTGAATAAGAGCATTTGTTCTATCAAAGTAACTAACCATAACATTGCTAACTGACGATGAACCCAAAGTTAATTGACTTTGGCTTTAGGCTGCCCACAAGGGGGCAGTAATCCCTCATAATGAATAATATGAGGATTATAAAAAACCTTAACATTTGTTTTCTAACTCTCAAGAAATAGTAAAAGTCAAACAATTTATCAAAACATGATAATTACTAATATAATTTACAGTGTAGAAAAATTTTTATATTTAGTTTTTGTTCATTTCAGTTTAAATAAAGGAGATTTACACAAATCCATACAGATGAAACTTTTCAGGTAAAAGGGAATTTAAAATACCTTCTTCATCTTCCCACTCCAGGTCTAAGGACGTGTTGTCATCATTTCCACTGGTGGATTTTGTTTTGGTCATTAAGTCACAGCTGCTTTCTGTATTTGGTGTCAACACTGTGGCATCTGAGGAGAGTCCTAGAACACACCCCAAACACAATTAAATGTCACTGCTACTGTTTCACCACAAAGCTATTTTCTTTTGCAGTAAGTATCTCTCCAAATATTATTATGGTTCTGATTTCAAAAGAACCAATTACTGAAGTCATTACTTGGTAAATTTCTGGGAGGAACAATGTAAAGCCTTTTTTTTTGGCCCATCTAACAACAAATATGCAATTTAAATGAATTATAAGCTTTTCAAATATGATGAATCTAAGTAATGCTTTTAATAGCCAGTTGCAAAGACAGGCAAAAAACAAACCCTCAAAAGGATGAAACATATGAAAGGCGGCCAGTATTTTCAAAATGAGCCGTTCCTATGTTCAGCTTCCCAGTAGCACAGGAGCTAGGACTTGTGACTTCTGAAAACTTGAAATATTTCGGTCTTATTTGTAATAAGTAAGGTAAGTATACTTTTGTACTCCTGCCTCCCATCTCCCTTGCTGTGATCCAAATAGAAATGGAAAAGGAGTACTTGACTCCCTACTGTGGGATCTATAAAACAGCCTCAAGCAATCCTTTCTCCAACTCCTTTTTAAAAAGGGAAGATGATTACTACATAATTCATAGCTACTTAACTGACTTCTCTGGGCAACACAAATTGAAGGGCAAGAAGTTCTATGGCAAAAGAGGCAGGATCTCCAATTATCTCTTCAATGTGACATAAAGTAAACTGAAAACACAGAATATTTTAAAAGACTTACTACTACTTCGAAAAACTTCATATTGTGACTTTATATTTCTCATACAAGATTCAAAGTCATCTTCTGGTCCTGAACTGTAATAAAAATGAATGTTACGAATATAATCCTAGTAAGCGAAACATAATGAATGCTTAGTGTGATTTGTTCTGAAGGCCCATCTCACAAGTTCACAAGGGCTGTACAAACAGGATAATCTAACAAAAATAGCCCTTACTGTTCCTAATGTCAGCGTGAAACTGAAAGTACTCAGATTTTGGTTAATTCTGAAGTCAAAACTCCAAAGCTTAGCTTGGTTCTTTAAGTTGGCTACATGTGGAAATGTGATACTAGAACATCTCTTCTAATAAACAATCACATGAACTTTTTTATAAGAAAAGAGGCTGAGGAGAACACCAACAGCTAAAGATACACATGCTTTTACCCAAAGCCATTTGCTACTGTGTCACTTTACATGGAAGATGTGACTACTGTTAAAGACACACTTAGGTCATTTAAGTAAATGATCACTTCTCAACTTAGAGAAAAATGCCGTGGTATTTCCTGAGACAGTGTCTTAGAGAAGCAATGTAGTTTTTGTTTTTTTTTGTGCTGGGGATTGAGCCCAGGCGCCTTGATCCTGCTGAGCACACCTCCACATGGAGCCACATCTCCCGCCTTGGGAAAGAAGTGACTTTTAGGGATCACATAAACTGAATAGAGTTTTAAATATCCTGAGGTGAATGACGTTCTCTTTGGAAATAACAGTTTCTACCACACAGGAAGAGAAGCCCTGTCATCTTATTTACCTTTGATGGTCACCGCTGCTGGAGGGGTGATAGTGCTGCACAACTCTCTGTCTTTCTTGCTTTGGAAACATAATAGAATCAAAGTCACTCTGTTGCAAAGTTATATTTTTAAAACCACCCATGCAACGTTGAAAAGGTTTTTTTCTAGTTTCTAAAAACAAAAAGTTATTCTGTTGACGTTTTTCAACTCATCCCTATTCATGGTGACATCCTCTTATTTATAGACAGAATTTTTACTAATTTATCAGTGTCTTAAGTCCAAAGTGCTTAGGCTATTCACTGGGTTTTAAAATGTTAACTTTCAAATAGATAGGAACTGGTGTCCTCAACATTCTTAGTGTATCTACCCACTTTTAGTGACTGGAAGGATGAGGGGTAGGAAAGGAATAGGTAAAATGATATCTCAATTCTAGTCAGTGTGAAGTATGCGGGAATCAACCAAAGGACAGTCAGAAATGACGGCAGTTGTGTTTCTTAGGCTTCCAACCGAGTGTGCGGTCCCATCAGCGTTGAAGCCTGACAATCACTAGCTGTATTTCCCAGGCACAGAGTTTACCTCTGTCTTCTTTTCTGGAACTCACAGGTGACTGCAAATTCAGGCTTTGGATGGAAAAACAAATGAATTGGAATGGTGTATGTGTGTGAGTGCATACTGTATAGGTACTATATTCCTGAGCAAATGTTTAGTCAGGAAATGAGAACTCAAGAGAACTCAGGAAACTGTCCAAATGGATGGTGCACAGGAAATACTTCAGTCTCTAAAAGGCAGCAGTACAGAATTTATTATAGTAGAAATAGTGCCTCTGTTGTAACCAAAAAACCCTCACAAAACCACCGTTACTTTGTAGAAGGTAATCTTTAAACTTTTCCACTATTTAGAACATACTAAAAATAAATGTCTCTATATAATTTATGTGCTTCATACCCTGCCACCACACACATGCACACACAAGTGTGCACACAAGGGTAGTGAAAAAAGAGAAAGGACACAGTTCACACGGAGATCACATGACAACATGACAGACGTGACTTTTCAATTCCTCTAGGTCTCAGTGTATGCTGTGAGCTCTGCACCAGTCCGGATAGCAGTGTCATCATGAATCCATACAGGCGAAACCTGCAGGACGACACTAAATGGCAGACGGGTCAGGCACTGCCTGAGCTCTGGCTCTGCTGTGTATTAGCTGCAGGGTCTCAAAACAGCCACCTATCTGTCCCTGAGGTCCCTCATCTGTGACATGAAGATAAAACCGCTGCCGTTCCTCTGCGACTGCTGTGAGGGTTAAATGCAGATAAATTTCCTAGAGCAGCCCCCGGTGCTCGGGCAGGGCTCTGCAAGGTCTGGTATTTACAGCTGTCAGGGGCTGTGACAATGCCATCTTCCCACACACCATGGTAAGACCAGGCAAACCTGCTTCCTTCCTCTATGACATGCCAGAGATTTCTCCAGACCCTAACTCTCAAGACACAGGAGGAGTAAAGATGAGAAGTGAAAACATCCCTGCAGGGCAAGTGTGTACAGCTCATATGATTCTAAGAAGTACATTGTAAGAAATTCCAGCAAGTAACAGAACTGCTTCAAAAAACTCTCAAAAATACAGTACAGTAATATGTTGGAAAGTATGTTTCAAGGCTACTTTTGAAACATTTTCCTTCTAAAAGTGTATTTATTTTTCCAAAAGAATACTGAATTTTAGAGCACTAAAATTTACTTTTAGGAGAAACGGGTATTAGCTTCTGTTTTAAAGCTAAATGGCAAGGGGCTGGGGATTTAGCTCAGCAGCACAGCGCCTGCCTGGCAAGTGTGAGGTCATGAGTTCAATTCTCGGTACCGGGTGGGGGGGAAAAAAAAGCAAAAAAAAAAATAAACGGCGTTCTGTATCAATCTCGTGATTTTATGTTATTTCCAGTAGTTAAAGATTGATTAATTTGCCTTTAACGTACCTAAGGATAAAGGCATAAGTAAAGTCACTGTTAAGCAAGAAGCCCCTGACTCTAAGGAAAAGTCCCCGATAGGACCTGTCCAAGACAATAAGGAGAAAAGCAGCCCTGGAGTGTGCTGGGGTCTTTTCCCCTCACCTCTGCGAGCTTTCGCTGCTTTGCTGCCCTGGCTGCTTCACGCTGTGCAGCGTATAAAGCTTCTTCTTCTAGTCTTAACTTCTCTTCTTGTAAGGCTAACTGTGCATGAACAAAACAATAAGGATTAACAAAAACCAGAACCTGTCTAGCTGCTCTAAATAGAAAATGTCTCCATTATTAAAATAAAAAATAAATCACTAAAAAATAATTGATTGCTACAAAGCATATCAGAATTGATGTCTTTGTGTTTGTCTCGATTCTTCCTTTTATAAAACGACCCAGATGATCAAGACAGTAAGAGAACCAAGCTCTGAAACAGCAGCATCTAATTTATAACAACACTCTCTTTCTTTCTCTAGAATTTGCAATGATCTTCATTTTCAACAACCGTTCCAATACCTACTACTACAATCAGATTAATGGTGCTGGCCCTCCTCAGTTGAAGGTCTTTAAAACTAAGGCCAATTATATCACTGTCCACCAACGTGAACTAAGCTTTCACCAAGTCCATACCTCACCTGACATACATCTCCTTGATTTTATTACTATGCAACTACTAAACAATTATGTTCAAAGGTAAATTCTTGCTATTTATAACATGCTGCTTTAGTGACAGTTACTGCATGTCAAATTTAACTTAAAAATCAAATTTTGACATTTGTTTTAGAATAATTTTAGTATCTACTGTGTAGCCTTAAGTTTGTATATTTGAAATTACCAAATGATACTAAAATAATTATTTTTAAATGTGTGGCTCATATTACTAATTTCAATTAATTTAATGATAGAAAAAAACTATAGTTGAAGGCTATTTCCATAAGTACATTAAATAAGTATAACATTTATGATTGTTAGAAGTACTTGGTCCACTAAGAACAAATAAACCCAAGACAAACAAAACGTAAAAATAAATACCACTTATTGTGAAAGTATTTATTTTAAAAGTTGATTTTAAACACAAAAGTAGATATTCTTGCTAGTATCCCATAATTATATATTAACAAATTATTCTTTAAAGAATGTACTATTTTATAAAGAATAGGCTTTATGATAACACATATTTAAGCTACATAAAAGACTATTTACCTCTTTCTGGATTTTCTTATCAAGATCTTTCTGTTTTTCAGCAATGGAATCATAATGCCTCTCTCGTAGGTCAACAATTTCTTCCTCAGTAAGAGGCCTAGAGATACCAAAAAAAGGAAGCAGAGAAAAGAAAAAGAAGGAAAAACACTAAATTCTCAGTGAAATTCTCAGTTTAAGGTCAAAACTGTGTTAATGTGATTTGATACTGTAATTGTTAAAAGTATACATTTTAAGTACTGTGTCAAGAGGTTTTTCAGTTTTTGCTTTGTTTTGTTCTATAGCCTTGTTTTAAGAAATACAATTCCACTTCCATTTCTGCAGGCTGCACTCCAGCCACCTGACCTATGGGTCAGAGCCCAAAGGGTTCCCAGCCGAGAGAAGCTTTGGTCTTCTTTTTTTTGTTGTTTTTTTCCAGTACCAGGAATCGAACTCATGACCTTGTGTTTGCCAGGCAGGTGCTCTGCCGCTGAGCTAAATCCCCAGCCCCCCAAGAGAAGCTTTGGGACAACATGATCTCAGTGCCACCCAGTTGGTCACTCTCCTAGCCTCACGAACACCACTTGTCACAGGCACACGCCCATCTAGCACCTGTCAGTGTACCACGTTCATTCTGACATTCACACCACCCCCAGACCATTCCCATGATGATGCCAGAGAATATGCAGCACTACGGCCCTCAGGCCAGCATGAGATCCATCCTTTGCACATCCTATGTTGGCATCTTCACGAGCCGCAGCAGCCCCAGCTTCCGTGCCCCTCACCCAACCACTCTCCATTCTCTGTGTGTGCCATCTTTGTCAGAATGCTCATCTCTGCCAGCCTCTCTGCCTTCCCGCTCAACACAGCCCTCCCACTAAGGAAGGTGTCCCCTTGGACATACCTCTTCCTATCCATTTTGGTCAATGGGCTTCTCTTCTAGGGTTTCCTAGAGGGTTCTATAAATGCTTTTTAATCGATCTGACCATCTCACATTGAAATAGCATCTCTAGGCTCTGTTTCCAAGACATCTTCTAATGCAGAAACATTTAAACATGTCTGATGTTTAAACCCCAGGGTCTGGCACAATGACTGGCACATGTCAGCTGCTTAAGAAGTGTTTGCTAAGCTGAAACCCTAAGGGACTTAGTTCAAACATGAAACAGTACATGACAATAGTCTCTGTTTTGATTTAAAATCTCTCTTTTGTATAAGACTGATGTGTCTTCTACAAGTAGTGTGTGCAATATTAACTGTACATTAGAATGCTACTATAATACCAAGGTTTTAGTTGACAAAAAGCTTGATTAGTAGAGATAGGGCAAGAGACTCCATTTTCTTTTTGTAATTCCATTTTAAGAGAAGTCACTTAAAGTTCACTTAAACTGTAGTTAAACCCACTCCTCACCCCTGCCCCTTGGTTAGTCACAAACCAGAACAGAGTCTTAAAATGGGAACAGAACAAACAGGACAAATTGAGAAGCAGGCTAAACATTAAATCACAATGGTGAACTGAAATCTAGCTGACCGACAGCCTCTGGGAAAGGTAAACCTTGTGATAATCGTGTGAAATTCTTGTAAAATTCCCCCAAATGAGGTAATGGTTACTATGGAAACCTAAAAATGTACTTAAACTGAAAGTGAGACCAGATCGGTGCGGACATCTTCTCTGGCTCCTGGCCAGAGACTGTCCGTCAGCTGGCTCTCCAATAAAGCTTTGTTTGTTCTTGTTGGACTCACTTGCCATATCAGTAGAACAAGTTTTAGAACATTATAAGGAAAGGAAAGGAGAATAAAGTTGAGAAACTTAGAAAAGCAAATGATAAAATCTGAATTCTCAGAAAACTCATAGTTCACAGAGAAGATTTTTTAAGCCTTACCTATGACTGCTTCCTGGGCTCTCCCCCTGCACAAAAATTAATGAAAACAATTAAAGAAATTTCACTAGCTACATTCTTCAATGCAAAATAATAAAATTTCTACTTAAGCAAAAATATTTTCTATTGACCTGTTTTTGTTGTTATTAAAAGGGTTTGAAAATTTTTTTAAAACTTTAAAATTATACTATTTTTTAGAATTAAAATTTAGTTTACTATTTAGCTGAATTATGTAGCAACCCCCTGGTGGATACTTCTTGTTTTTTCCTAACAGTGCCAGTTACCCACCAAAGGCACCCGGGTACTCAGGGGGTACCGGGCGGCACATTCTCCCTGTGCTCACCGCTCCTGGTCTCATATTCACACTCCATGTCTGTGAGTGCATCTCCTTGCTCAGATGTATGCACAACCCCAAAGCACCACTCCCTACACCTCCTCGGCCCTGTGAAAACCCTGTTGCCCAGCACTGTGCACCCAGCTGGGGTGGGACACTCAGCTTCCGCCGGGACACAAGCTGCGTTGGCACGGTCTCTGCAGTGCTGCATGGACTGCGCCTGGGTGTGCTCTCGTCCACGGTCTCTCAGCACAGTGCCTGACAGCGGTCTGCTGCGCCTAAGTGCAGACAGGCTGAGATGCGCCGCACTGAGAGAACACTGCATGTAGATGAGCTAAGCGTCACTGAGGCAGGTAGGTGCCGCTGGCACAGTTCAAAGTGATTGAGTCAACCATGAATGCCATGGAAGATGTGTTAAACAGGAAGATACATAAAACATGGTTAGAACACATGACGTTAACACACAGGACTAAGTTAACAGCAGGAATGAAATCTTAAATGGTCCAAACTAATTCAGGAAACAGCATTAGGGAGCAGAATGACATTCCACTAAACCAAACAGAAAATGTCAACTAAGAGAAGAACAGACTGATTAGTAAAAATAAGTACAAAGGAAAAAGAACCTTAACCAACCAAATAAAAAATAGCCTAGGAGAAACATGAAACCACAAATCTTTGATGCTGAGATTAACTATTTTGGAGGCTGAAAGAGCTCTTATTCATCAGAAGGTTTAACAATGCTGTGTCCAGTGTTTGCTTGCTTTAAAAGCAAAAGGCATGGAGATCAAAGTGATCTTTGAGAAGGGAAGGAAACTTGGTTTTATAAAACTTTGGCTGTTATTTTACAGGGAAAACAAAAGGCTGAGATAGTTTCCCAAATATGACCTACCAAACAATAAATATATATGCTTTTACAAAAGGATTTATACCCAAATTGATTTAGGAAATGGTGAGTTGGACAAGTTTAATCATTTTGTTTAACCATAATTCTCAGAGCCTGTAATAAGCTAACTTATATTCTGAGGCTAGTATCTATACACCCTCTGGGAAATACCAGGCTAAAGAATAATTTAATGTTTAAACAAAAGTCTTTATGCATTTTCCTCTTTCCTTAGAAAATTAAAAAAAAAAAAAACAAATGACAGAGTCAAAGCTTACAATGCTCCTAGCCTAAGCACTTTGAGAAATGTAGAAAGTAGGCCCCGCAGAGGGTTGGTAATCTGCACACACTCATACAATTAGTTTGGTAAAGTTGGAGATTTAGCACATAAACTAAAGCTCTCCTAACTATGGCCATGCATAAGAAATACACAGCACATTTCATCGGTTCTAAAGTATACCTTTTCTCTTCTTTTAACACTTCAATTCTTAGTAAAGTTGACTGAGTTTTAGATAAAATAAGATGCAGAAAATCAACATAAAGAGTGATGGCTAAAGCCAGAAATGGATTGTAGCACAGAGAAACACAGAAATCCATGTGAACTACAGTCATAGTCACAGAAATTGTCCTCTCTAGTTAGCTGAAGTACTTCATCTATTTTAGGGAAAGAGGTTACAGTATCCCTTTTGGAAGTTTCCTGAGTTCTATAAAAGGATCTAAAACTTCTGTGTAGTATATACATTAAAAACTCTGAATTTTTTCAAATATAAATTAGTAAAAATTAAGAAATGATAAATTAGGAAATTATATGGAAGGACAAAAAACTTCTAAAAATTCTAAAATAATTTTAAAAATTGTTAGAACTAATGAGATAATGAGATTTTCAAACACGAGTTTTGTATCACAATGGAAATACTTACTTCATCACTTTCTACTAGATTCTCAAACTGAAAGAACAAGAAAATGACTGTTAGGTGGGATATTTGTCTAACAAGATACTGCTACTATTTTCACCTTAAAAATAATACATTTTATTTTCATAAGATACAGTATTTAAGTGCCTTTTATGCATCTGCTAGTTTGATATATTCAACAGTCCTACAAAATAGCCAAGGCAAGTGTGTACTATTTGTATTTATGGCAATATTCAACATAAAACAGAAACTATATCATACACTGAAACTTTCACCTGGCTTAACTATTTCATTAAGGCATTTTAACCCATAGAACCAGAATTTTCCGCTTAGCTTGAGTTCAGAGCAAATTAATATCATAGGAAGATTAAGAAACAGGGACTAAAAAGATACCCAAATAAAAGTTTCCCTTAATGTGTACTGTTATCTATTCATTCATATAATTATTTACTCAGAGCCACCAGATGGTGTTTACTACGCCCAAACACAATGTCTTTTAGAAACAGGAATGTGAAAATTTGATTAGAATGTGAGGAATGCTGTTATATCAAATGACCTAATGGGAAATCATTACTATGAAATTATATTATTAAAGTATCTATATTTTAAATACAAATACCTTGTAAATAACCAGTTGAAAGAAAAAACATGTTTTATTGTTAATATTGTTTAAATGAATTCAAAAGGTTTAGAAAAAAAAAAGAATCTAAGGGGATAACAAAGCTGTTCAAAATCATTAAAGTCAGTTCATATTTTGTTCATATTTTGTATTGGTTGTGATTGCTTAAAAACTGAGTTCCTAATTTACATGCTTCCTTATTTAATATAGAAGGCAGTGAAGCACAATGGTCAAGTTTTGCAGCCACATACTTTTGGATTGAAACTTATTTTCTGCTGCTCACAGGCTGTAAAATGTGGCTCAATATCTCCATTTGTCTAAGCTTCTAATTTCTTACCCATAAAACCAGGTGACCACCTTCTGTTCAGGAAAGAGATGCAGCAAGAAGTGAATGCATTTATTCCTTGAGTGCAGGGCAGAGGGGCTGGTCTGAGGGTTCAGCAGCTTCTATTGGTGTGTTTTGCATAACTGTCGAGTTGCTTACAGCCACACTGATGCTGGACGGTGGCTCAGCCCTCCACAGACAGGCTAACCTCTGCCTGTAGAACTGGCTGCCTAAGGCGGCCGCTGTTACAAACAGCGGAGCCCCACACCCTCTCCTGTGCTGCGCAGGGCGAGACCAAACCAGACCTCTTACAAGACCGGGACCTTAATCTGCAAACTTCTCCCTACTTCCCCAGGCTTTCGCTCTCCACCAGAGTTAACAGGACTGAAATATAAACAATCCATACTAAACATGGTCTAAACCTTTTCCTCTTAGTTATAGTACAAAGAAGTCCCTTCTCCCTTCTAAGATTATTTTTAAACCCATTCAATTCATAACTCTACTTACCTCTATAGTCAAGTGCTCACCCCTCGAGCATGTTCTAAAGTACTTGGATCTGGGGAGAAAAACAGACAAACAACTTTAAAAGTCACAACTAGCTCCAACCTGATGGCATAAAAATATTTCTTCGAGGGCAACTTTAACTTCTCTAATATATAGTATCTTATACTTATAAAAAGGAACAAACACAACTACCTCTGAATACAATCCAGGTTTCTAAACTTCATTATGCATTTGGTACTTATATTTATTAAACCTGCAATAAATTTACATAACTACCTATAACAGAATTACACTTTTAAAATTTTTCTCATTTTACTGTATCCAGAAAATTATCTTGTTAAAAATAGTGTTAAGTAGTATATGCGAATGCCCTCAATTTTGTTAAACAAAAAACCTAAACAGATACAAAATATTTTTGTAATTATTTTTATATTTGTAAAACATAAAAAACCTAAACAGATACAAAACATGTGAGAGTAGTTACCAGATAATGGGGCCACAGATATCTACATAAGCTTTTTAGTCCTTCCCACACCACACAAATAAGGAAAAAAAAGTATGCACGCATTAACCACACAGTCCATTAATCATTCAACCAAATACTGACACTGATTTTACTCAGTCTCCTCTGTGCTCACCACTGAAACCTACGTGTAGTAAATAAGCATTTTATTTACTGTGTCTGCTCAACAGTGTGTCTCCCTCTCCTGTGGCACGGAAGGGTCCAGGTCCCTTTCAACTCCTTTAGGACCACAGTGTCAGGATATTATGGGGCTTCGCCGCTGCACCTGCCGAAGTGCCAAAGAGGGAGGGACCCGCCCCTGAAGAGGGTCCCAGCGGCACACTTAGGGTCCCTGCTGTTGTGTTTTGTCACAGAAAGCACCCCTTTAAGAAATGGGGAGATGCCTGGGCTTAGGACAGGTGTGAACACTTGTTTCATGCAGATGTGTGTGTGTGCATGTGTCCAAGGAGTTGACAGGTTGGGAGAAGAGATCACCATGTTGTTATGACCACAGAATAAACACAGCAATGAAACTGCAGTTGGCGCTTTTTCCCTGCCACAATATTCATCCGCAGAGTGATACAACACAGAGGGTACTGCCCACTCTACGACCACTGGCAAAAGTAGGCTTTGTGATATCATTCCACGGATCTCAAGGAACACGTCCAGCATGGACACTACACTCAAGCCTCAGGCTCCACAGCAGGCCCGGACAGCTAGCAACGTGGCCCAAAGGTGGTCAGCTGTGAGCCTTACCATCCATTTTCATGCTCCATGCGCGCTGCTCGGCACAGCCTGTCCAGGGACGGCACAGTGCGTGCTAAGTTTGCTTCACACAACCATAACACACGGTTGGGGAAGCCCTGGTGTATTTGTTGGTACATGCACTTGTGCAACTTGGGGAGTACAATAGCAATTACCCATACTGTGCCTACCTACAAGGGTGTGTGTGTGTCTGTGAAGACAGGCATTTACTGTTTTTCAGCAGAAATGTATGTTTCTTATTGATTATTAAACTTGGGTTTGTGGTATTTCATTAAAAAATACTGCTATGTTTACAGTGCTAACATTAGAAAAACAAATGGGTGACTATTAATTCTTGTATTCTAGCATGGCAGTTTTACTACTCATACTCTCACACATTTTGAACGCAGCCCTAGATAATTCTTCACTCCATGCTGCCTGGCAAGTTAAAGGCAGCTCCTGAGCTTCAGGGCCCCGGCTCACCTGGGCCCTTGCCTTGCCTTGCCCCACGCGACGCCTCTCATTTGGGGGGCACTGGCACAAGGACTCCTGCTTCTGACGCTATGTGCTTTTCTTCTTGCAACCATCACTCTTTCCTGAATGAAAAAGCTGTCTCTGATGAGACTGTCTCCTCTTCCAGTCTTATTGAGGGTGTGAGTGAATAATGAAATTAAGTTCACAACACTGAGTAGCCAAACACGGGCCATCGGTAAAAACAAGGCCTAAACCAAGTAGAACACTGCTAAGGTGGAAATACCCGTAGCACTATGTGTACATGAGATGCAGAACACCGGGTTCTGTTGAAATCTAATGCAGATATGTATGCGTTAACTTCAGCAGAAGCCAGAGGTAGTGTGCTGCCCAAGTCTCCCCACCTGTTCCTTCTCTTCACGTCCACCACGTTCCTGACCACTTCCTGACAAATCCACACGAGGAAGAAGAGCAATTGAAAATGTGGACAGCATAGAGGACTTCTCTAAGGACCAGCTGTGCCCCTGCCCTGCTCTGTTACTACTGAGAACCCGAATACCTACACAACAGAGTCCACCCTTCACCTAAGGCAGTGTGACCCAGGTGGGCCTCGGTCCTTCCCAGCAGGTCCTGCCTAATAAGCGTAAGTCTAAGAGCTACAATATCAAATAAACAACAAATAGCAACAAACGATTAAAATGGAAGAAATGCAGTGTAAGTTCGGGAAGCAATTCAAGCTTGCCCTTTAAAATAGATTAGACGGTGAACTTACAAAGGGCCTATATTGACTGCTACTACCATAAATGCTAGGATTACGTTGAGAAGTTAAATATTCAATTTGGCAAACTCAGGCAATGTTTTTAGCAGAAAAGCTTTAACCTGGATTTACCTGAAAATAAGTAGAGAAATAATGTGATATAATATGTGTATATGAATTATAGATGTTTATTTCTACTCAGGCAAATACTGCTGGCGCCTGAATAGAATCTCCCAGGCAGGTGCGCTGAGTATTGAATTTGGTCATGGGCACTTTGCCAACTTTCAGCCATAGAAAAACCATAGCTTTTCCCACTTTTTTCTATACCTTCTATGTGATACATATTTTAAGTGATTAGAAAGCCCACTGTTTGAAAGGATCATTTCAGATTCCAGAGAGCTATTTCCTGAACATGAAGAAACGATGATGCCAATCATTCACATCACTGGCTGTTTAAAGCCTACTGAGAGTGTTTAGTGCTGGCCCTTCCTGACTGCTCCGGAGCGAGGCTGCTGGCTCTGAAGGGGAGGGGAGGGCAGGCGAGGGGAGGGGAGGGAACAGGGAGCTGACAGAATGAAGGAGACTGGGCACTAAAAGCAGCCTCAGGTTTATACTTTTACAACTCAGTGGTGGTGGAGGAGTTGGCAAGACTCTGCAGTGAGCGGACCACAGCTCCAAGCCTGAGGAATCTTGAGAGCAAACACACAAAAGAGGCAGCGGGTGGTGGGAACTGGTACAGCACAAAAACTCAAGTCAGCAGGGCAACGGTGTGGGGAGAGAGGCTGGGTTACTCAGGCCACTCAGGGCAGGCTCTCTGATCAGGACAACTGGAGCTGGGTGTGGTGGTGCACACCTGTAAGCCCAGCATTCCAAGGCTGAAGCAGGAGGATTGTGAGTTCAAGGCCAGTGTGGGCTGCACAGTGAGACCCTGTTTCATAAACTCCAAACAACAAAAGTATAATAGGAACTAAGACCCACCCCAAGTACATCTGCCAGACAGATACTTGGAAGAAAAGAACTCTACATCAAGGAAAAGCAAATGCAGAGGTTCTGCAGCAAAATGGCGCTTGGCTCCTTGTATGGTAAAGAGGCGAAGGCGTCAGGATGGCTGGGACAGAAATGAGGCAAACATGGAGAAAGAGCAGAGTCAGGCCAGGCCTTGCGGCCAAACAGCACCTCACCTTGCACTGTCAGAGGAGAATTCACAGAAGAGTGTTTGGGTTTTTGACATTAACTTTTTTAAAAAAGGTTTTATTGTGATACTTTTTCTTTTTTTTTTTTGTGGGTACTGGGAATCACACTCTTGCACTTGCCAGGCAGGCACTTATGCCGCTGAGCTATATAAATATGCACAAAGGTAAACAGAAGAGTATCACAGACCTCACTGCAAACCTCACCCAGCTTAAAATCTTACCATTTTCCATGTTTTGTTTATACCACTCTATTTCGGTAGTTCCTGGGGGAGACAGGTAGGCAGGCATATTCTTTTACCCTTATCTCAATTTGCATCTCTAGTTCACAAGAACCTTAAAAACCTACCTATCATGTTATTACACTTAGCAAAATTAAAGAAAATTCCTTAAAAATCGACTAATGTGCCATCCCACTTATAGTGCAATTTCCCCAGTTATCTTTCTGTACAAGGTGGGCATAACTCGGAGCTAAGGGAGGGCAGGCACTGTGTTCGCCTGACCTTTCAGACATCTGTGTCCATCACACCGTTCCCCTGCACCACTGTTTCCACACCATCGGATGTAACAGAAATTATTCTCTTCATCCTGAAGAATTTCTCATTTTCTGGGTTTGGCTGTTACTTTTCCTCTTGGTGTTGAAACTTCTGTCCCCAGTACTCCATGTAAACTTGGACTCTGATTTAAAAATTAATTTCTGAAGGCAGGAGTCTTTCATATGCAGTCTTCCACTGAATCAAACCGTAAGGAGCCTGCCCTTACGTTTTGGATGTGGAGGTTCAGGTACTGTCAGCCTAATCTAGATTAGGAAGTTCACTCAATCTTGTACCTAATGGTTTTGATAGCCACTGATATTCCCAACTGCTGCTCCCTTGGAGGGTACCAAATCATGCTTTTCCAATTCTACCATTCCTTAAGGATGCATTAACAATACTAAGAATGTCACAGGAGGATCGGGAACCAATGAGCCAGTCTGTTTTAAGGGGCCACCAAGAAAGCTACTGTCACAGAATGGCAGAATAATGCTGCTGGCTTGGGTCACATAACAGTAGGGGCAGTAATGAAAAGTAGTCGCAAACTCAAGGCAGACAGGATTTGCTAATGAATTAGAAGTAGTAGTTTGTGTCAAGGATGTTGCCCAAATTTTAGGCCTGCACAGCTAGAGGAGTGGAGTTTTCATTTCTGTAAATGAGAAAGGCAGAGGTTTATATTTTTAGATGCCTATAGCTTGGGACTTACACAAAGCTAAGCCATTTTGGTGATAGCCCTTTATTTGAATTCCAAACTACAACATTAACAGAAGCATCAGCTCAAAAAATTCCCGAAGACTGCTGCTTATAATTAGCCCCAAGGCTACTTCTTAGTCCCAGGGCAGGAAAAGCATGTTTCTTCCTTACTTTGAACCCAGGAAATTCCTCTGATTTTCTCTTTCTGTCCCAAGGAGTGCTGGCTAGAGACAAAGATGGCAATATTCACAATTTCCCCCACAATACATATGCATATGTTATTATTAATACAGACAGATGCTGATTGTTTTTAAAGAATTTTCTTCTAATCATTATAAAAGAATGGAACAAGTTTACTTTTAGGGTACAGAGGAAGGCTGGGTCAGTTATCTTCCAATAAACTGCAACTAGAAGGAAAAAAATTAAAACTACAGTGGACCCTTGAATTATGATAGGCCTAACATACGAACAACTTAGGTTATGACTGCAACTTTACTTAACTGACAATCAATGTCTTGAGTTACAACCTGAGTGCTGGCTGCTTGTGCAGTTGTAAACAAAGACTCTTGATGCCAGAAAAGCATATGTAAGCATACATAAGCATCAGTCTGAGCCCAGATGCTCGTGCTTGTGGATGTGATCTCAGTCAGTGCTTTATATAATCACTACAATTACTACTATCAAAATGCCCCCCCCAAAGCTAGAAAAGCTAAGGAAGGAAGACAAAGTAGGGAAAACAATACAATCAAAAAGAAGAAATTGTGGAGAAATGAGAGTGATGTTCGTATGTCCAATCTTGCTAATATGTACTGCATGTCAAAATCCACCATCTCAACAATCTTACGGAGGAAAGATTTGTATAAGGAAGCTAGTGTTACTAAAGGTGTTGCTCAAATTAGTCATGACCAACAGAGTTAGACAAGGTAAAAAGGCTATTATTAGTGTGGATAAATGAAAGGCAGATGGCAGGTTATAGCCTATCTAAGTCTATAATTTGTGAAAAAGCTAGAGTTGTAAATGCAGATTTTGTATAGGATAATCTTGTAAAGGATCATCCACCAATGTGTGATAATGGTAAAACATTTCATGCCAGTAAGGGGTGGTTTCACAATTTTAAAGTGAGAACTGGGGTTCATAGTATAATTAGGCACAGTGAAGCAGCCAGGGCTGATAAAAGGGCTACTGAAAATTACACATACCAGTTTGAAAGGATGTCACAAAAAAATGGTTTTTTCTCTCATCAAGTTTTCAACTGTGATGAAACTGGCCCTTCCTGGAAGAAAATGCCCAGGAGAACATACATTACCTAGGAAGAAAAGAAAATGCCAGGCCATAAGTGAAGGATAACCTATGAAGGATAGGCTAACCTTATTGCTATGTGCCAATGT